ATGTTTGCGAGTGAATAAAAAAGATCGTTATGATCAGAAAAAGCAATCATTCAAAAAGTAAGTTCACTTTGAAAGTAAGATATTGTCTTTCAAAAACATTATGCTAGGTGAAATAAGAAAAAAAAGAACTGAACAGAAAATCATATAAATCTTTTTTCACGATATTCTACGAAAAAGTGATCATCGGTTGATAGCCGTATTAAAATTGATACAATAACAATCGTTAATAAACATGAACTTTTATATAATACATACATCTTTCAAACTGAACGCCATATTGCTTTGACCAGAACAGATCCAGACATCTCCGAACAAAACATCAAATAGAGCTGCATGTCCATCTTGTGATGTGATACTTATTGTTACTGGACCTCCAGCTTTATGAGCAGGTAACAATGCCGACCATATCCCACCTGCATGACCGTCCATTCGCTTGTTTACGACTGCTGAACCTGCTGCAGTCCCGTTTAATTTTATGTTAACTGTGTCGCCAATGGTTGTAGCATATCCCCAAAGCTGCGCCTTTGCTGGTTCCATTTGAAGCACCATGTGACTGTGAAAGTAATGCGAAAAACGAAGGGTACCAGCTCCATCTAGAATTGAAATACATTTTCGTAAACAACTGCAACAGATAAACGTTGTATTGTTTAAAAAAAGGATAATTCAAATAATAAACGACTAAACTTACACACATTTTGACTTTCATACAGCACCAGAAATACAAAAATATGCAGAAACATGGTGGAAGCCTATAGTAAACAGAACAGCAGTCTGTCTGTAGATAAGATATGAACGCCGGATTTGGAGAAGTCCTACTTTAACCAGTCACAAGGCCGTCATCTCAACAAATGACAAATAGCAAACTATTTGTGAACTGTGAAATTTGGACATTTCTATTTGTAATCCGAAATGTGATAAGATAGACATATATGCCGATACTTCTATTTTTGTTTCTTGGCTGTTGAATATTGGGGACATATGACGATCTTTCAGAATTAATGAGATGAAATATACGTATGGTCCAAACATCAAGGTGTTACTTTCTGCAATGTTGGCACTTGGAATCGACATATTGATTCTATCAAAGCATAAGCATGGCAACGAATCAACGTTATGAGAAAATTAAAATATATTCTTGATCGAAAATCTTTATAAATCATCTATATATTTTACGTCGATAAGGACTCTTTTTGAATACTCGGATGTCATATGGGTTAACATAACATCACATCAGGAATATGAAATCGAGAAAATACAGCTTAAATCTTTAATAGACTTGTTTCTATTTCAAAATTGTAAAATTGTTCATAATCTGAACTTGAACCGTTTAAAATCAAGAAAAAAACTAATCAACTTTATTATAAGATGAAAACAACATAACTTCGTCGTAACTATCAACCCACTGTTAATGTTGTCGATATTACTATATACCAGTATAATCTGCGCAATTATGTCAACTATACAATTATACATTTCGGCACACAGTTTTATTTAAATTGCTTTCGTCCACTTATTGTTTCTGAATTGAATCAACTCCTAAATGATTACAGAATCTCTTCATCCTTAAGTATTTTAAAGTAAGTTTTAAATTCAAATACACAACAGATCCTTTGTGCAAGTATATATACTATAATCACTATAGCATATTGTCGCAAGGAAACTCATCACTGTATTTCTCATATATAAATCAGTTTAAATTGGCTAATATAATATTTAGGCAAATAAGAGATTTAATTTATGTAAGTCTCTTAACCCTTTTCTTCATATAGAAGTGTTTTGACGGTTTTCGGCCCTACCCCTTTTTCAGGCCTTGACCATTTCCCTGATATAGACGTGTTTTAACGGCTTTTTGTCCCCCCCTTTTGAGGCCTCAAACAGTGAAAAAATGCCCTATTTAGGCCCCAAACACTGTTTGTCGTTTGAGAAATGTTGTAAAAAAAATGACCACTTTTTCGGCGTCGCCCCCATCCAATTGTTACATCAGGGGGTTGCCAGAAGGTAACTAGTAACCGACACTGAAAAGCCTTTTAATCTATCTTAATTCATTGAAAAGTTGCAGCACTTTGAAATCAGTTTTGATGGAAAAAAACAATGCAAAATAGTGTTTTAGGCAATTTTGAGACGTCCCCCGTTGCCATGGTAACAGGAAATTTACGATTGAGCATGCTGTTACAGAGGCTATGGTCTAGTCAATATTTGTGCCAAGTTTCATCAGTATTGAAGCATGTTTCATAGTTTCATAGCAGTTTGAACTTGTTACAGGAGGTTTTTCAATGAAAACGGCCATTTTCGCAATATGCTCATGAGTTAAAATGTTAATTAAAAAATAAAAAATGTCAAGAAACAACAATTTTTCACCAAAATTATGCGTAAGAGCATGTGTTTACATGGAAAAACTAGCTTTTGGATAATTACAAGGTTTTTCATCATTTTGTGTTAATTGAAAAAATAAAAAATGTCAAAAAACAATAATTTTTCACCAAAATTAGGTGTAAGGGCACGTGTTAACATGGAAAAACTAGTTTTGGGTTATTTTAAAGTTTTTCATCATTTTTTGTTAACCTTTTCCCTGATATTGACGCGTTTTGACGGCTTTTTGTATCCCCCCTTTTGAGGCCTCAAACAGTGAAAATGCCCTATTTAGGCCCCAAACACTGTTTTTCGTTTAAGAAATGTTGTTAGAAAAGTGACCACTTTTTCGGCGCCGCCCCCATCTAAATGTTATATCAGGGGGTTGCCAGAAGGGGGATGTGCCCCCTTCTGTTTGGGGGGTTTGAAGGGGCGGTAGTCCCCCTCATCGCCAAGAAAATTTTGGACATGTGACAGGCTAAGAATGACCTCATGTCGATTTTAGGGTAACTAGTAACCGACACTGAAAATCCTTTGACTCTATCTCAATTCATTGGGAAGTTGCAGAATTTTGAAATCAGTTTTGATGGAAAAAAGAATGCAAAATAGTGATTTTTGGCAATTTTGAAACGCCACCCCGTTGCCATGGTAACAGGAAATTTACGATTGAGCATGCTGTGACAGAGGCTGTGGTCTTGTCAACATTTGTGCAAAGTTTCATCTCTATTGAAGCATTATCCATAGTGTCATAGCAGTTTGAACTTGTTACAGGAGGCTTTTCAATGAAAATGGCCATTTTTAGCAATATGCACATGAGGTAAAAGGATAATCAGTGAAAAATTACCATATTTAGGCCCCAAACACTGTTTTTCGTTTGGGAAATGTTGCTCAAAAAGTGATCATTTTTTCGGCGCCGCCCCCTATCAAAAAAGTTCGCTCGCTAAGAAAATTTTGGACTTGTGAAAGGCTAAATATGACCCCAGGTCGATCGTAAGGTAATGTGTAACCAATGCTGAAAAGCCTTTGACTGTACCTCAATCCATTGAGAAGTTGCAGCACTTTGAAATCAATTTTTGTGCCAAGTTTGATAAGTATTGAAGCATTTTTCATAGTTTCATAGCAGTTTGAAATTGTAACAGAAGGCTTTTCAATGAAAACGGCCACTTTTTACAATATGCTCATGAGGGAAAGGGTTAAATAGGTCCTACACTTTCCATTTTGTGACAGTAATACTTTTCCCTTACTCCACTTTCTATGTCTCCATTCTGATCTATTCCTGCCTTTCTGTAAAATCTCTCTTTTCCCATTGCAAGAAATTATTTAAATGTGATATATGCATTGTATCTTACACATTTGACATGCTCAGCTCCTTATTATGATCCTTTTTTCTAGTAACTTCTTACTAAGTAGCTATCGATTATCTTCGTGTAATATATGTAAAGAATTAAATGCAGGTGCAAAGAACTGTAAGTACAAAAGATGTGTTTTTACTTAATAAATTGTTGAAATGTTTTTACAGGAGAGCTTTCATCTCAATGTAATTTACGTATTGAAATTTTGTTTGAAAATATGGAGGGAGAAATAAATATTACTTAAACCAAATACATATGTATGTTTTATTGGTTGAGATGGACATTAGATACAATTTACATGTAACACATTTTGTTATTAAATTCCCTGTCAAAAAAAACTGTGAATCCCAAATATTTGTTTTTATTAATTGTTAAATCAAATCAACTGCTAATTTGTTACTTTAAACATCTTCCTGTTTTCTTATGAAAGTTAATGTAGTATCACTGCTGATCGCTGTAACTTGAATAAATCTATAACTATATAAGAAGTGAATGTATCTTTATTAAAATGTATCTTTAATTCTTACATTCGGACCAAGCGACAAAATATTAAATAAAATCCAGCTCAAATTTGCATGAATATTTTATTTACAATTACCATTACAATCTTCTATCTTTTTCTTTTTTTTTTCTTTTTTTTTTTTGGGGGGGGGGGGGGGTAGGGGGTTATGTATTTGTCGAGCAAGCGTTTGACATTTATGAAAAAATCTTGCAACGCTGTACGTTCGTTTTCACTTCCTGCTTCACGCTACTTTTATCTTTTAGTAACGAGTTTCAATCGACATCGACTTTCAGTTACAACCAGAGATGGACATTTCCATCAGTAGAAAATGTTATTGTTCAGGGAAAAGTCTCTATAATGCTAATATCCGACTTGAAAAAAAATGGTGTTAAGTGTTTTAATCTATAGATCGTGATGATGATATTTATAGCGGGATTATGTTCTATAGTGAGTGAAGATGATCCATAATGTGATAATACTCTTTCGAGTGTGATGATGATCTATAGAGTGTGGTGATGATCTATAGAATCAATGGAGCGTGGTGCTGGTTTTTACAGTGTGGTGAAGTGTGATGAAAATCTGTAGAGTGTGAGTGTGATGGTGATCTAAAGAGTTGGATGGTGATCTATACAGTCTGATGATCCATTCTTACTTTACACAAGTAGCAAATTCCCCCGCAGAAGTTGCAAATGATCATGACCCGAAAACATTCCAGAAATTTAAAGACCTATTCATAAATAATAATATAAATTCGCTTGTATTTAGCGGAATGCATTTAAAGACACAAAACGAATAAATATTATAATATTTTTTGGTTTATTGTTATAACATGATATAAATATAATTATTGTGAGTTAAAAGGAGCGTATTTGACAAATGTTGCGGCCGGTAAATCGTTAGTACTGTCATAGAGAGGGCACATCTTAAACTCGCATGGACTCATCTCCCAGGCGTATCTCACTGCTGCCACAACGTGTAAGCTACCATGACATGCGGCCGTATTTATAGTGACTGTACTAAGGTCGTGGGCGACAATTGGAGCTGGTTTCCAGGCATTATAACTGCAATTGTGGTGAATATTATTTCCGCAACAGAGCTGAAATACATTTACATAATATTCATTTATTTCTCACGATTTACACAACTTGCATGTTCTTATAGAATAAGTATTTAAATAACATGCAATATGATCTGCAAGGTTAAACGATATTTATTGATTGATTAGCTTATTTCTATATGTATCGTTTGTATGTCTTTTCATAAACGAAAAACGGTGGCAGAATAATAAAACAAATGGGACTAGGTTTAATATAATTCTTTCAAAAGAGGTAATCAAAGAAAATTATCTTGCAACCTCAGCTCAGTTATGACTTTTATAGAAACTGATGTTGGCTTTCACCTCAAATCCGTCGGTTGCCCGGACTTCTATAGCACTGTTGCCATGGTCAAACTCAATCACCAGTTTATTAGTCATTTGTGTAATGCTAGTAGGTATAGGACCCTGGAAGTCTAAGTTAGTCTCTTTGTAAGCCACGGCTCTTCCAGCCAGAGCTAGACGCTTGGCAACATCCTGTTTGTCTCTTGGATGTATGCTGAAATATTATTAATGGTAGAATATAATTATGTTATAACACGAAATTTAGCATTCATTACATGGTAGAAAGACTGGGTCATTAAGTCCATGTGTTTATTATGTTTTCATATTGAGAATTGGTTGTAGGATCCTTGAATGAGATTGAAATATAAAAACAGAAAAATGTAGGATGAAATAGGACAAATACAACGTTTTTAACGTACGTCCCACGAGTAGAATTGTAATCCGGTAGGTCCATTGCGACCGCCATAAACACGTTCGGGAGACGCGGATTTGGTACATATCCGTATTTTGCAGTCTGAGACCACCGTATATCCGGGAATCCGGCGTGTAAGGTAATGTTGGAATTGGCAGCTAACTAAATTGTAGTGGTAAAATCTCAACAGTTACAATATAATATATATCAATGGAATAATTCATTTTCAGCTTACGATACTTAAGTACAGTCCGGACTCTAAATACCAACAAGAAATGTTAATATTTTGAAATTCCTTATATACTTTTTCTTTTATTTTCAACATATTCTCTTTACCGAAGTTTAAAAAAAAATAAAGGTATGTCTTATAATTATGGGAAATTGTTTTTATTGTTTATATCATACAGGATAATACATATACCAATCATCCGTTAATCTGAAAAGAAAATTTATATCCAGAAAATATATAATATTTTTCGTATAATCCTTTACTAGACTATTCTGATTTTGATGATGCTCACCTGAACAAATCCAAAAGGAAATTGTTTGTCTGTTTGAAGTTGGGAAGCTGCGTTGAACTTTGACCTCCAGTCGTCAATCATGGCGGGAAATTGACATGCATATGCTTCAGGAGCTCTGGAGTTTGCCTCACCTGAGGTGGATGAAAATTCAATTCCAAACAGATTTCCCAAAATTGAAATAACATACCGGATATACCACAGGCATCAGAAAAGTGAATAAAGTCTTAAATGGACTACTGTAGTTTAAAAAATCATATGGTACAAACCAAATTGTAGTACCAATCAAATCAAATGTGTGTCATTCATCATTTAAGTTAAATCCGTTATAAGAGCTGACAATGCAACTGAAAGAAATATGACAAAAGACTTACCTTGATACCATATAGCGCCATATATGGTAGCCCTTAACAGCGGGTAGACCATTGCGTTCCATAAAACACTATGCTGATGAGGCCCTCTAGTAAAATGTTTCAATATACTATAAAACTGGTTTATGTATATTTGATTTTAATATAAAATCCTACGTGGAAGGAAAAATTACTCATTTTACATAGCTTAAATATCAAACGCAAAAGCAAAATTCATAAAATTGGTCATTCAGTAAAATAAATATCGAACGGAAATGACATTAGTTTCATTGTAAAGAGAGAGTTTATTATTAAAACACGATTTAAACATCTTTATCTGCTTATGACAACTTGTACATTGCTACTGATAAAACCGCTAATAACTGTACTATATCTTACAGAGTAAAATCTAATATTCGCGACAACTGATATACCTATGACGTTATACATGTATATTTTTACCTTTTCATTCTATGTGAACAAGTTGACAGGGCACCAGGAGATGACCAAGATTCTATTGGAGTTCCTCCCCATGCCGTTTGTACCAGACCAATCGGTCTATTAATATGTGGGGCCAACTCAACGGCGTACAACAGGCACACCGCAGAAAATAATCCGGTATATTTATCTGCAAATGCAAAACCGAGTCGTAATACATGATAATGTTGTCTCAATATAAAGATGAAGTAGATAATCACAGAAAACTTATTGTATGAAACTATAAAGATATTATTCTAGCTCGGGAGACTTCAGGAAGTATGTCTTACGGATTTGTCGGAGAAAGCCGAGTTGTAACGATAAGTTTTTATACTAATTAACTGTAGTTCGATTGTGATGGAAGCTATAGAGTTATTTAAACACTCTCGAATCCGTTCCTGGAACCAACCAGTACTAAGATATAAGTGTAAATTTTCTTCCTCATGAAAACAACGTCTTGCCCCTTACGAGGTTTGAATACAAGCTGCCTGCAAGTCTTAGATTACTAGTTCAACGAGTTAACCACTAGGCCACGCCGCCACCCAATTGTTGTAACGATTTATACTCAACAAGAAGATTCACGGCCCTGATTAACTTAATTCAAATATTTTGCTTCATTTTTAAGTCAATAAAATCGCGTTATTTCTAAATTAGAACAGATTGTTATTTATTATTCAAGGTCAATAACAAATACGGTCTTAAACATTTCTTTAAACTATTTCTGAAGTTAGTTCGGATTTTTAACCCTGACCATATGTTTCAATTTTCATAACAGGGGTATAGATTACAATCTATGTCCCTATTTAAGCGTGCCATATTCATGAATACACGATTATTTTTTATGAAAAAAACAAAAACAAAGCAAAAACAAACAAACAAAAAAACATTTCGTGTGTACTAATATATTTTAGTGAAAAAATACATAGATTATCATCTCAATTTCTCTTTCTATAACAGTAACTTGATCAAATGTAGAACCATGTAACGTTAACTTAACATAATCAAAGTCTGTAGTTCTTAAGAAACGTATTTGTTACTAAAATACCTGAACCTAGGTATGGGAATATAGAATACAAGAGTGACAGTTTCAACATAATTTTGCATGTGTTTTGGCTCATCATTTTCTGAAACTAGCGACTGAACTAACTTCATTGTCTTCAGTTACAATTTGTTGTTGAGTTAAACGAGACGGAAAAAAGATGTCCAATGTAAATCTAATTTTATTCAGTTCATCCCTGACTGCTAAAAACTAATAACACAGGCTAAAGGTTATCATATTTGTTTAAACTATATATCGACAATATTTCATATACATTCGAAATTTAGCATGTGTCATTTTGTCAGTGTCTTTATTTAAATAAAAAAAGTTAAGAGGTATTTTATATTTAATATTGTCTGTCTTATTCTTAATTGTATAAAATGATTTCATAGCTAAACACATTAACATTTAATTGTACACATGCATACAATTTGCATTATACTTAATTCTCAATAATATTAAATTGCATTTTTTCACTGGAACCTAAAAAGTCTGCCAATGTCGGATAAAATGAACATTTCGCAGGCTCTTTTTGAATTGAGTCTGTTCATGAACGACAGAGGTAAACGCAAGTCATCACCCACGCACCCACTCACCGAGTTAAGCATGAAAATGATATTTCTTTAGAATTAAGAAATATCCGAATATGTGTAAAAAAAGGCGGTGATCATCAAACATATGTGTGACATTTCCGAGTCAGTCAATGAAAAAATGTTATATTAGGTAAAATTTACCTGCAATAGGTTTACGCCATGGTAATGCAATCACTGGCTCCTCCATAGTGGTATTGGATGACCTTAGATTGACCTTCATTATCCGGATGTTGTTAAAATGAGATGTGTGCTCCAACTCAACGCTATGGTTGAATACCTGTATTGTGGTAATTAATGACAAATCAGCTGTTTGTATTAGTCTAAGGTTATACATACAATGTTATATTTATAAATTCTTGGGATCAATGATAACCAAGCAAGTATGAAAATTGCAATCATAATCCATGAATTGTAAAGGTAAATTCAACACAGTTTTGCTTATGCCATCAAACAATGTTTCAAATGTATATCAATAGTAAACGTTTGCAAGTGAATAAAAAACCTCATTACGATCAGAAAAAGCAATCATTCAAAAAGTAAGTTCACTTTGAAAGTTAGATATTGTCTTTTAAAAACATTATTCTAGGTGAAATAAGAAAAAAAAGAACTGAACAGAAAATCATATAAATCTTTTTATCGATATTCTACGAAAAAGTGATCATCAGTTGATAGCCGTATTAAAATTGATACAATTACAATGAACTTTTATATAATACATACATCTTTCAAACTGAACGCCATATTGCTTTGACCAGAACAGATCCAGACATCTCCGAACAAAACATCAAATAGAGCCGCATGCCCATCTTGTGATGTGATACTTATTGTTACTGGACCTCCAGCTTTATGAGCAGGTAACAATGCCGACCATACCCCACCTGCATGACCGTCCGTTCGCTTGTTTACGACTGCTGAACCTGCTGCGGTCCCATTTAATTTTATGTTAACTGTGTCGCCAATGGTTGTAGCATATCCCCAAAGCTGTGCCTTTGCTGGTTCCATTTGAAGCACCATGTGACTGTGAAAGTAATGCGAAAAACGAAGAGTACCAGCTCCATCTAGAATTGAAATATATTTTCATAAATAACTGCAACAGATAAACGTTGTATTGTTTGAAAATAAAGGATAATTCAAATGTTAAAATACTTAACTTACATACATTTTGACTTTCGAACAGCACAAAAAATACAAAGATCTGCAGAAACATGGTGGAAGCCTATAGAGAACAGAACAGCAGTCTGACTGTAGATAAGATATGAACGCCGGATTTGGAGAAGTCCTACTTTAACCAGTCACAAGGCCGTCATATCAACAACTGACAAATAGCAAAGTACATGTGAACTCTGAAATTTGAACATTTCTATTAATTTTGTAATTCGAAAATGTGATAAGATAAACATAATTATATTCCGATACTTCTATTTTTGTTTCTTGACTGTTTAATTTTGGGAACATTTTACAATCTGTCAGAACTGATGAGATTAGATATACGTTTGATCCTCTCCTTTTTCTTGTATAACAATGATATTGTTTGTGATTCCACTATTAGACTATTTACCGATGATACAAGCCTTGATATAATTGTTGAGATGCGAATATTTTATTAGATGATCTGCAATACATTGACTGGATTGTTACTTCCAACCCAAACAAAATTGAATCATTATTATTTCTCGTAAAGTTTCACCCTCTCTTGCAATGAACGGTCTTGTATATCAGAGGCAACACGAAACAAACATCAGTTGTTACTTTCTCCAATCAACATATTGATACTACCAAAGCAAAAGCATGGGAACGAATCAACGTTTTGAGAAAATTAAAATCTATTCTTGGTCGAAAATCTTTATAAATCATCTATATATATATATATATATATATATATATATATATATATATATATATATATATATATATATATATATATATATATATATATTATGTTTATAAGGCCACTTTTTGAATACTCAGATGTCATATGGGTTAACATAACATCACAAAAGGAATATGAAATCGAGAAAATACAGCTTAAATCTTGCAGAATTATCACTGGGGTCAATAGACTTGTTTCTGTTTCAAACTTGTACACATAATCTGAACTTAGACCGTTTAAAATCAAGAGAAGAAATCATAGATCAACTTTATTATGAGATGAAAACAACATAACTCCGTCGTATCTATCAAACTTAGTCCCTGTTTATGTTGGCGACATTTACTATATACCAGTATAATCTGCGCAACTATGTCAAGTCTACAATTATACATTGTCGCACCAAGCTTAATATAGATTGTTTTCTTCCACTTACTTTTTTCTGAATGGAATCAGCTCCCAAATGATTACAGAAACTCTTCATCCTTGAGTATTTTAAACAGTAAGTTTTAAATTCAAATCCACAATAGATCACGAGATACTATTATATTTGTTCGAGAACTGACCAAAAATCTCACACAAAACTAACGACCTACATACAAACGGAGCATTTATTTTCAAAAATGTTATAGACAGTCATATCTGCGAATGTGGAGAAAATGAAGACACGTGTCATTTCTTTTTCAGGTATCCACGCTTTAATGCACAAAGTGCTGAACTGCTTGACAATACTTGACAATACTACAACTGACAACCTATCTATACTTCTATTCGGCGATGCTAACCTTTCATATAAGGCAAACACATCTATCTTCTTACATGATCAGAAGTACACTCACAATACAAAAAATCATTTAAATAATGTCCATTACCCACCTATTTTCTTTTCTATTATTATTACTACTATTATTTAACTTAGTACTAAAGATGATGGTAACTGTCACGTCTGAAACCTGAGCTTATCGTGAAGTCGGAGGTACTGCTGGCTCCCGACCACCACGTAAGGGTCGAGGATCAGGAGTACACCTGGCAGAAGAGAACGACATTACTTGAACTTCTGATTCCCATCTTATTTAATTTTTTGTGCGTTTGAATCGTGGAAGCGTTTGGTATTTCTGAAAAATGATATTGCAATACCGTGCGGTTTCACTTCTTGCTACCGTGAAAGTTCGGAAATTCATTTTATCTTTTTGTAGAGTAACGAGCTTTAATCGACATCGGCTATCAGATGAACATTTACATCAGTAGAAAAAGTTATTGTTCAGAAAAAGTCTCTATTATATCATACTTCCCTAAAGACTCTGACGATAATTTAAAGACTTTGATGATGATTTTTAGAGGGCGGTGATGATCTCTGGCGTAATAATGATGATTTATAGTCTGTGATGATGATCTATACAGCATGATGATTAGCTACAGAATGTGATGATGGACCATCGAGTGTGATGATGAGCTATCGAATGTGATGATGAGCTAAAGAATGTGATGATGAGCTATAAAATGTGATGATGAGCTAAAAAATGTGATGATGAGCTATAGAATGTGATGATGAGCTATCGAATGTGATGACGAAACATAGTATGTGATGATGAGCTATAGAATTTGATGATGAGCTATAGAATGTGATGATGAGCTAAATAATGTGATGATGAGCTATCGAATGTGATGATGAGCTATAGAATGTGATGATGAGCTATCGAATGTGATGACGAAACATAGTATGTGATGATGAGCTATAGAATTTGATGATGAGCTATAGAATGTAATGATGAGCTAAAGAATGTGATGATGAGCTATAGAATGTAATGATGAGCAATAAAGTGTGATGATGAGCTATAGAGTGTGATGATGAACTACAAAATGTAATGATGAGCTATAGAGTGTGATGATGAGCAAAAGAGTGTTATGATGAGCAAAAGAGTGTTATGATGAGCTACAGAATGTGATGATGAGCTATAGAGTGTGATGATGAGCAATAGAGTGTGATGATGAGCTATAGAATGTAATGATGAGCTATCGAATGTGATGATGAGCTATAGAATGTGATGATGAGCAATAGAGTGTGACGATGAGCTATAGAGTGTGATGATGAACTACAAAATGTAATGATGAGCTATAGAGTGTGATGATGAGCAAAAGAGTGTTATGATGAGCAAAAGAGTGTTATGATGAGCTACAGAATGTGATGATGAGCTATAGAGTGTGATGATGAGCAATAGAGTGTGATGATGAGCTATAGAATGTAATGATGAGCTATCGAATGTGATGATGAGCTATAGAATGTGATGACGAAACATAGAATGTGATGATGAGCTATAGAATGTGATGATGAGCTATCGAATGTGATGATGAGCTATAGAATGTGATGATGAGCTATCGAATGTGATGATGAGCTATAGAATGTGATGATGAGCAATAAAGTGTGATGATGAGCTATAGAGTGTGATGATGAACTACAAAATGTAATGATGAGCTATAGAGTGTGATGATGAGCAAAAGAGTATTATGATGAGCAAAAGAGTGTTATGATGAGCTATAGAGTGTTATGATGAGCAATAGAGTGTTATGGTGAGCAATAGAGTGTTGTTATGAGCAATAGAATGTTATGATGAGCAATAGAGTGTGATGATGAGCTATAGAGTGTAATGATGAACTACAAAATGTAATAATGAGCTATCGAATGTGATGATGAGCTATAGAGTGTGGTGATGAGCAATAGAGTGTTATGATGAGCATTAGAGTGTGATGATGATTAATAGAGTGTTATGATAAGCAATAGAGTGTGATGATGAGCTATAGAGTGTGATGATGAGCTACAGAATGTGATGATGAGTTATAAAGTGTGATGATGAGCAATAGAGTGTGATGATGAGCTATCGAATGTAATGATGAGCTATAGAGTGTTATGATGAGCAATAGAGTGTGATGATGAGCTATAGAGTGTTATGATGAGCTATCGAATGTGATGATGAGCTATAGAGTGTGGTGATGAAAAATAGAGTGTTATGATAAGCAATAGAGTGTGATGATGAGCTAAAGAGTGTGATGATGAGCTATAGAATGTGATGATGAACTACAAAATGTAATGATGAGCTATCGAATGTGATGATGAGTTATCGAATGTGATGAGCTATAGAATGTAATGATGAGCTATAGAATGTTATGATGAGCTATAGAGTGTTATGATGAGCAATAGAGTGTGATGATGAGCTATAGAGTGTTATGATGAGCAATAGAGTGTTATGATGAGCTATAGAGTGTGATGATGAACTATAGATTGTGATGAGCTATAGAATGTAATGATGAGCTATAGAATGTAATGATGAGCTTAAGAATGTGATGATGAGTTATCGAATGAAATGATAAGCTATCGAATGTGATGATGAGCTATAGAATGTGATGAGCTATAGAATGTAATGATGAGCTATAGAATGTAATGATGAGCTATAGAATGTGATGATGAGCTATAGAATGTAATGATGAGGTATAGAAGGTGATGATGAGCTATAGAATGTAATGATGAGCTATATAATGTAATGATGAGGTATAGAATGTGATGATGATGAGTTATAGAATGTGATGATGAGCTATAGAATGTAATGATGAGGTAAAGAATGTAATGATGAGCTATAGAATGTGAGGATGAGCTATAGAATGTGATGATGAGGTATAGAATGTAATGATGAGGTAAAGAATGTAATGATGAGCTATAGAATGTGAGGATGAGCTATAGAATGTGATGATGAGCTATAGAATGTAATGATGAGGTATAGAATGTAATGATGAGCTATAGAATGTGATGATGAGCTAAAGAATATAATGATGAGCTATAAACTGTGATAGGCTATAGAGTGCGATGATGAGCTTTAGAATGTGATGATGAGTTATCGAATGTAATGATGAGCTATCGAATGTGATGATGAGCTATAAAAAGTGATGATAAGCTATAGAATGTAATGATGAGCTATAGAATGTAATGATTAGCTATATAATGTGATGATAAGCATTCGAAAGTAATGATGAGCTTTCCAATGTGATGATGAGCTATAGAATGTGATGATGAGCTATAGAATGTAATTATTAGCTATCGAATGTAATGATGATCTTTCGAAAGTAATGATGAGCTATCGAATGTAATGATTAGCTATAGAATGTAATGATTAGCTATAGAATGTGATGATGAGCTATAGAATGTTATGATGAGCTATAGAATGTGATGATAAGTTATAGAGTGTGATGATGAGTTATCGGATGTGATGATGAACTATAGAATGTGATGATAAGCTATAGAGTGTGATGATGAGCTATAGAGTGTGATGATGAACTACAGAATGTGATGATGAGCTATAGAGTGTGATGATAAGCTTTAGAGTGTGATGATGAGCTATAGAGTGTTATGATGAGCTACAGAATGTGATGATCACAATAAATGGATATGTGTTTTTTCATATTCCGTTTCGACATATTGACTGTATAAACGTATGCTAATTAATTCGTTATCACATCACCTGGTCGAGAAACTACGCGTTGAATATTGATATCTTCATATTTCTTCTCGTAGTTGGTTGTATAATATAAGTGAGGACATGTTAAACTTGGTTTACAGACAAGTGTTGTGACAGCCTTCAATTTGTATATCATTGATAAAATTTAATAAAAAGTTTGCAGTGAACCTTTTATCCCATTTATTATACATAATAAAATAAGGACACAATGAAACAAACTGCATATAAATACCATGAAAGTGATCATTTGTTTAAACTTGTACACGTATTTCAAATTTTGAGGAGGATATAAGGTAACGTATTTCTAAATAATTGATTGTTGATTCAAACACTTGCAACTTCATTATGTGTGTAAATAACATTAAGTTTTTATATATCTACAAATATGGCTTTTCAGTTAATATCAAGTTCACAGGGCGATTTTAAGAAATAAATGTCTTTCGTAGAAAAGCAAATAGTACTGCATTTCTTTATAATACCTGGATTGCTGTCTCAAACAAATGTGTTTGTCGAATAAATAAAGTGTTTTGTTTGTTTTGTTTAGTTTTAATTCAAACTGACATAAATCATATGGCGAATTTCTAGCATTATTTGTGGGGGAGTGGGGAGTCCTGGTGCCCATTCGTGCATTATTCTATGCGGGCGGACTCCTGAGTAGTGGGAAAGCTTCCTCACATAAAAGAATCAAAAGTCTCTGACGTGATTCGAACCCACGGTGCATAAATATCGGAAATAGCGGATACAAGCAATGGACAACAGCCAACAGTGCTTGTCCATAATAACTAAGTTTTCATGCTTGACAATATATTGACTTTATTTAAGTTGGTAATATTTAAAAAAAGAAGATATGTTTCTAATGTTTTTAATAACTTTCTAGTCTTATTGTTGTTCAGACTCCATATCCTCCACACATTGTTAATAGTATTCCCTTTGAAAGTTTTGTTATGTCATATAATATTGTTTAATCACGTTACTGTTATATGTTATCTGTCAGATGCCCTCATGGACTATACTTCTTTCAATTAACCTGAAACCTGATTTTTTTCTGGTATTCCAAGATTTTGTTCTGAATTCGTTTGTAAAATGTCATTCTCTTGATACATTGATCATGATGTTAAAAACTCGGCATCAATGATCGAAACACAGTCAGTTGTTAGTGACAGTTGTACAACATTATTCTTAAACATATTAGCCATGTCAATTTGAATTTGTACAACAGTCCATTGTGAATGTCAGACGTCCGACACTATATAGAATCTGGCGAACGTGCCACAATAAAGAATAAGAAAGTTAAAATTTCAGTAAATGCATAAGGATTAAGGTTAAAACCTCCGGCTTAATAGCTTAATCTGATTTAAAGAACTTGTGTGTTGGGGCCTGCATGACATATATATCTTCATTTTTTGTTAGCAAAAATAAAAGGAATGAAAATTTAATTTGCTGATTGTTCGTTATATAATTATAATAATATTCAAAAAACTGTAAAAATCGATTTTTGATATGTCGTTTTAAATAAGTATATAAAGTTCGATATATATAATGCTTTAATCATTACTAAAATGATTTAATTCGCAAATAAGTTATTCATCGTTGACAGTTACATTCAATACATTGTGTGCTTGCCGATAATTTGTTGTATTATAGTATAATATTGTGTTTTTCATTATTGGTAAATCTCGAATATATCAATTGATATAATGTTATTCATGCTATTATTGTTATTTTTATCGAGTGTGACATATGCTTCAGAACTGCCGATCCCAGCTTGCGCCAAATGTTACACAGCGTAAGCCAGTATAATGTACTAATTATTGACCTTCAAACCAACAGTTAGTTTTACTCGTAAAGACACGTGTAGCCACTATATATAATGTGTGTTTACATTTTTTCAGCTGACAATGTTTACGGTGATATTTAAGAAATATGCTTCAGGATATAAACAAGGTAATGAATTAGAATTTATTTACTGCCTTATGGTGTCAGGGAAGTTTTAGATATTTTAATGAGCAAGCTTGTGCTTATGTAATGTCAAAATACACGTATCAGGCACGGCGTTGTATTTATTTTAGCAATGCTATAGTTCAGTGCAATTTCTTCACTTTCAGAAATAAAACAGTACTGATTATTGACACTGTAATCTAGTTTTTTAAACGTAAAGTACTGCACGTCTTTCATTAGTAGACAACTAGTATTGTGTTCCACGATCGAAAGTCACTGCTTAACGCTATATAATGTAAAATATTGATCGTTCGTGTACATGTAATTATATATAAGCACAGTGGAGTTAAAGCTATTGAAATAAATACATTAGTTTTTGTGTTTAACGCTCGTTTACTTCACTTTTATATTTATTAGCTAGGATAGGAGTATATATTGCATGTTACTAGTAAAATATATAAATATAAACCGTCCTATTAAACAAAGATAAAAACCACGTGGTTCCGGTTAGAAATAAATTTGTACAAGCGGATTTTACGCGCTACAAGGTACATTGGCGATATTATATGATACACACCTGGTGTATTTGAGTGTATTTAGTTAAAAGAAATTAAATATCAAGTATTATTTGTTTTTCAGAAATTGAAATAGTGACTGGTATTTGAAGAAAACTCGTGCGGTAAGGAAGAACTCGATTAAAAATATGGAAACGTCATCTACCAAGAACGAATTCAGAAATACGCTGGTGTTGTCCGGCGCATTTACAGCTATTTTCACTGCTTACTTAGCAATTCAAAATCTTCAAAGCAGTTTGAATCAAGAGCAAGGACTTGGACTAATTTCTCTGTCATGTATGTACGCTTGTATAATAATCTCTGGAATTCTAGCACCTGCTATTATAAATGTTTTTGGTGAGAAAAAAGTGTTAGTAATTTCATTTATATGTCACGTGATTTATATAGGAACTAATTTTTACCCAACTTTTGCGACATTAGTTCCATCATCTGTGCTATTAGGTTTAACAGCAGGACCAATGTGGACATCACAAAGCGTGTATCTATCCGACATGGCCTATTCATACGCAGGAAGAACTTCAAAAGATGGGCATGCAGTACTAAGCAAATTCAATGGAATTTTCTTTGCAATGTTTGAAACCACACAAATAACGGGGAATCTTATATCATCTTTAGTTCTACAACAGGGACGTTACAACAGCAGCATCTCCAGTAATGAAACAGTGGAAACATTTTGTGGCAGCGACGATTGTCCCATGGCGGTAAATGCTACCAAAATTGAAGAGCCAGAGCGGCACGTTGTGTATATTCTTCTTGGCATATTTTTGGCTCTAGATATTTTTGGAGTGGTTCTCACTTCTGTTTTCTTGCCACCTGTTCAAAAGGTGATATCGAAACAGAAAGTTAATCTTTTGAAATCGCTAGCATCATGTGGAAAAGGTCTGACAGATTTAAATTTGATTTTTCTCATACCGCTGATAATATTCATGGCTATGGAACAAGCAATTCTTTGGACTGATTATACAAAGGTAAATATTCATTTTAAATCTATAAACAGTATACAAGTATACGTATGTAAAAAATTTTACAGGAAAAGGCAATCCTTTGGACTGAATACACAAAAGTAATTGTTCACTTCTCTTAAATCTATAAACAGAATACACATGTATGTAAAACAATCTTTTACAGGGAACAACTTTAAAGTAAAATCTAAATTTAGAATACACGTAGCGACATTATACTAGGATGTTTAAAATTTGAATGTACAACCAATATGATACTTATATACATGTTTCAATAATAAACTTTTAACACTGCAAATAATAGTAATTTGTTACAATTGTATACAGCATGTCTCTTTATATTCATATGTATCATATAAATGTCATTACCATATAATTTTAGTTTGCTTTGGCATAGCGTTAATATTTTAGTATTATATGGAGAGGGTTTTTCCGTTTTTCCCGATCTCTATTCTCATATTTTCTGTATCATCAAGTTTCAACTCTTTCCATGACTCACAGGAAACTTCAGATGAAGGCAAGAGTTATGTAAAAGGCCTGTTACAAAAATGTCATTAAAGATACATGTATTTGCCCAGAACAAAAATTTTAGACCATAATAATAGATTCAAATGCTCAATAATTAAAGTTCACTCATCAGGCCTGACGCAATATGTTATCATATTTGTGCATTTTCAGGAGTTATTGACACACATAGAATAGTTTTGATATGCGTTTATTTATTTTTTATTGCCCTTGATAATTGCTAATGATTTTATTTTTATTTGTTTGTTTTTTTCAGTCATTTATCAGCTGTCCGTTAGGAATACAGAAGCTTGGTTTCGTCATGGCAACTTACGGCGCATCTACTACAGTATTCGCACTTATTGTCGCTCGGATCTCAAAATATACGGGAAGATATATTCTATTCACCATTGCTGGTCTGGTTAATCTCGGAGTATTGATAACCATGTATGTTTGGAATCCAAGTTCAGAGAATATTTTCCTCATCTTTTTGGTGCCTGTTATTTGGGGTGTTGCGGAAGGTATTTGGCAAATACAGTCAAATGGTGAGATTTGCTTTTATATGATATCAAAACAGTTTTCACATTTAAGAATCTGTCTGCGTGCGTCATAAGCTCGTTGGAATCACTGACTAAAATTGTTTACATCATTTTGAATAGAGACAAAATAACTTATTAACATGCTTACTATCGTCTGCTGAATTAAGAAGATTTTAGCATATCATAGAAGATAAATATGCGAGCGGTGTGACCCCTACCTAAGCTGAAGTATATAATGATTAACCTTTGCTACTATTATAGAACCAAACCAAAGTCGGACCGAGAAACGTATTCATTTTACATGTGTAACTTAATATTTTTATCTGGATATCTCAAAAATTGATAATGAACATTTCCTTAAATGAATGCCAGACACGTTAATTAAGGAAACCCAGCAAGTTAATGGTACAGATAACAATTTATTAAGTAGCATGAGGTATATGTTACAAATAGGCGCCAAACCGAAACTATTCTAAAATAACTTCAGCAGACGACAAAATATAGACTATGTAATTTTTATCTTAACAGATTTTTTTTCTCTTTCAGCGTTGATTGCTCTGTTATTCCCAGAAAAGAAAGACTCTGCTTTTGCCAACTACCATACATGGAAAGCTATAGGATTTACGTTGACATTCGTGTATGGGAACTTTCTATGTGTGTCAACAAAATTGATAATTGCCATAGTGTTACTCATGGTATCAATGTGTCTATATCTAATTGTAGAAATAAGAGTTAAACAAAGAAAACCAACTAGTAAAGATAAGATGATGACCGAGGAAGTAAACTCGTTAGATCCAGACAGCAATGCGTCATCGAACTAAATATATATACACAATGCACTTGTAATTTTTTTTTATAAATTTTACAACGTTTGTTAATCAATATTTTCAGAGTTTTATATAATTTAGTCAATATGTTTTTCCTGCCTGATCAAACGCCTGAGATTATGCTCAAGATTGAATATTTACATAGTTATATATCTGTACATGATTCGTGTTATTTTTCTATCAATATTCCCGTCATTTATAGTGAAATAGAGGATATTTGTTTAGTTCAGTGTAAGATCGGAATATATTTCACCGAGTGAGCACCAAAAGGTATATTTCACGAGTGGCGCAGCCACGAGTGAAATATGAACTGTGAAATATGAACTTTTGGTGTTCACAAGGTGAAATATATTTCAATCTTACACTAAACTAAACAAATTTTCTTTTTATTATATGCAAAGAAACGTTTTAAAAAGACATTTAACCTAATACTGAATGAAAAGCGCGACAAATAATAATACAATGTGACGTCATTTACGACGTCACGTCATTAAGTTGGTACCCAGTACTGTGCACGCTGGTATTTCACTGAAACAACGTAAGGGGCTTAAATTCAAAACAGTGAAATTATCAAAGTGGTAATTTCACTGTTTCAAACAGTGAAATTACCAGTTTTATATCACTGATATATTTCTATAAACCACCGAAAAGCATGTAATAATATGATCTATTTCAAAGTATTAAAAACTGTAATGTATTGATTATAGTATAGAATGATCAAACGTATACAATGTATAATATAACAATTCAGTGTGAAGGTCGTTTACAGAGTGCGTCATTATATAGATATATATCTACCTAGCTACCAATCCGGCCTGTACAGATCAAATATTTAGTTAAGCTCTACTTTAGTGCTTGAAATTCTTTATTTTTTTGTCGTGTAAGATTGCAGTTTTTCAAATGAGTTGTCAAACATTCACTTTATCTAGTTAATACATTCAAATTCTTAATTTCCGCCGATCTTGATCTATTTCATTTTGTAAATGCTTAACTGGTGAACAATCATCTAAACATAATTTCATCCGTATTTTTTAATAGTACATTTCATTGTTTAAACAATGATTAATTTCTTGCTCTCAAATAAATAATTTCATTTTAATACCGCTCCTAAATACTTACCTATGATACATATTTATTTCACTTTACCGCTGTGAACAACTTTAACCTTAACTATGCGAAACTATTTCACTTTAGAACTGCTAACTTATTTCACTTTAAGGCTCCTTAATACTCAACTGTGGTATATACATGTATTACACTTTAGCCTTGCTGTGAATCTATTTATTGTGATGCTATTGTTTGATGATAATCTTATCTGCATTAGAATTTTCGTGCGTTATTTTTGTCAGTTATAATTTGTTTTAATTGCACTTTTTATTGTTATTTGTCTATTTTTAATGCACCTTTTTGCAGTTTTGTTAGTAAGTATTAATTTGTTTGAAGTCTTTCATACAACAATGATCTTGAATTGTGTAAAAATGTTATATTTATTATATTTATTGCTAAAGTACTCAATTTGCTTTGCATAAAAAATCAACTGAATTATTTATTATAGAGATTATTTTAAAGTAGAAGTTAAATAACTTCGGTTTGTTTGAGTACTATGGATTGATATATTAGCTTCAAGTCCGAGAGAATTAGAAGTATAAATATTCTCTTTATGATAATGTATATAATATAAATGTTACAACATACCTTTGCGGAACAAAATGTCTATGAATATGGCATTCATGAACTGAATAAAATACACTAAACAGAAAAATCTTCTGTTCGCTTCCTTCTGCTTTGTACCTAAAGTTACTACAAGGTCCATTGTTGTTTTTTAAAGGCTAACAAAATAACTTGTTCGATTTTGTCTGAACCTGTAAGTTGACTGTTTCATCAGTTATTGTCAGTGAAAACGTTTGAATTTCACCCAACGCTATTTTCCATAAATGATTGAAAATATTTCATTGTATGTCCAACGAGAACCATAGTAGATATTTTATCCATTAACCTTTGTTAATTCTGAGCCGGTGCTAGGGTGCTTGGACGGTAGCATTACTTACCGCTGCCGTCAATGAGGCGGATAAATGAAAATGAGCGTTCAACTTACACTCTTTCTTGTCTTATCCGGTGATCTTCATTTTTTAAACGCCCGTTTGAAAAACGGGTCGTATTACAGTCTCCCCTGGCGGAAATATTTGTCCAATATTTGTACGGAGCATTTCTCCTACACGCATTGAGAAATTTTAATGAAACTTCATAGAAATGTTCATCACTATGAGAGGCAGTGTCGCGCGTAAGAACTAGATTTCTAGGTCAAAGGTCAAGGTCACACTTAGAGGTGGTTGGAAAACGCTTGTCCGGAGCAAACTTTGGCACTAATGTTCACCGTTGAAAGGCAGAGTTTCGCGTGCAAAATGTAGGTCTCTGTGGCCAAGGTCAATGTCACAAATAGTGGTCAAAATTCAGATAAAAATATGAAAATGTGTATTTGGACCAGTTAATTATCATTTATTGAGGGATTGAAACAAATAGCCATTATCATGACTACTGGTGTGAAACATGTGATATAGGTTAATATATGCAAGGTCAAGGTCACTAAAGATTATAGCAAAGGTCACTAAAGATATGAAATATAGAGCTTTTGTCCAGAGCATATCTCTACACATATGGAGAGATTCTAATGAAACTTCATACAAATTATGAGAAGCAGTGTCATGTGCAAAAAAGTAGAGGGATTTCAATATAACTTGGCACAAATGTTCAGCATTGTAATGCGGAGTGTCTCGTGCAATGTTTAGGTCCCTGTGGCCAAGGTCAAGGACACAAATAGGGGTCAAAGTTCAGAAAAAAATATGAAAATATGTATTGGGACCATTTAGTCATCATTTATTTAGGGATTGAAACACATATGGTCATTATCATGACAACCGGTGTGAAACATGTAATTTAGATTACTTTATGCAAGGTCACTAAAGATGAGAAATTTTGTCCCGATCATATCTCCATCACGCATGGTGGGATTCTAATGAAGCTTCATAGAAATAATAACCACTATGAGAAGCATTGTCAAGTGCGTGAACCAGCTCTCTATGTTAAAGGTTGAGGTCACACTTACAGGTCATTGCTTGTTTGGAGCCGAACTTTTCATTTATTGATGGATCGAAACACAAATGATAACATTCATCACTACAAGTGTAACACATGTAATTAAGGTTAATATTTGCAAGGTCAAGGTCATTGAAGATGATAAAATACTCAGATATTTTCTGGAAATTTCCAAGAATGCCCAAATCTCTGACAAAAGCTTTTGTGACCGGCGTATTTTGCGACAATGTTGCCCTTATTTACTATACAGTGTATTAACTTAATCTTAAGAATAAAGCGTAATTGATAAAGATATTCAGTTCTAGTTATACATAATTTCTTTCCATAATTTTCGTACTAAAAAGGACACTGTTTCTGTACCAACTCTTGCGAAGTCACGTTCGTAACGATATATTTTAAACTTATACGAATATGACCCATTTTACATATTGGCCAAAACGTGTTTATACATATTAATTTGTCCAATGTTTTAACACACGACAGAAGCTGAAATATATAATAATATATAATATTGTACTTTTAGAGGAAGTACTTGTACACAAAAGAGAAGATATATATGTTTTCAGACAATAACAACCATGACTATGACACATGATAAACAATAGCTAATGATGGACACATCAATTTTCAATAGGAGATACATGGTTATAGCAAGCCCGTTTAACTCAAAACGAGTGTAAAATGTCCATCGGTAAAAATGTTGTGAGCAACTTCCGTTCCTCGTTGTGTGACACGATAAACAAGACGAGTTTTTCATAATTTTTGAAGATTGAATATTAAAGCATTGCTAAGGCATAGTGGGCCTTTAATAATTTCCCGTACCACCCTTGTATTTATAATGCACATGGCGATATGGATTTTTTGAATAAAGGACCAACAATGTGATCAACTAACATTTAATTTACGAAGCATACATATCATCAATGCAGTTACAAGTCATTTTAGCGCAAACAAATCTACATTTCAGAAGTCAAAATCTGGAACATGTTCTAATACTCGAATGTTTTTATGCTCGTAAATGCATTTTCATAATTGATCTTTTTGTAAATGAATACCGTTTATGGTTTTAAAATGGCACGGAAACTGAGGGTTGTTGCTTTAATGTTTGCCATTATTTACATTTGCCTGGTGCTCTACTGTGTTTTATTGGAAGGAACTAGTACAGATATTTATTTCTTAGGATAAGGTAATATTAAAATGTATAACGTGAAAAGAGGACATCTTTAGGTTGCCAAACGCTTAACACAACAAGATGGATAGGTTCGGCTAGATTGAGCCTGGTTTTTAACACATTTGGTAGAACAAAGTATGAGAGTAAGATCAAATAAGACAGAGAACCTTACACAGAACACAGTCCGAACCAAATCCAACAGCATACAGGGCAACCGATTAGACACCCAATATGGCACCAAACAAGAAATAGGAGTGGATACAAAGAACACTGAAGAGAAGGGGCGTGCCGTCCACATTCGAATTATAGATTTTAATGGTACATATCCAATTAAAACACCCTAAGATTTTATCAATTAAACATCTAAATTATATTTTATATAGCTTTTTATTTTGTCAATATAAGAAATATTACGACAATATAAATATGCCAAGGCAGAGACCGGAATTATAAAAAAAGCTACATAATGATTACAAAAAATATTATACATTAACATGATTTGTTCATACCTTTAATGATTGCAATGAAAACATAAATTTGGCCTAGACATAACTACTATCTCTATCCATTGAAATACTTATCAAATGAATTCAAATCATGCTCTTAAGACCTGCCAGTAACCAACTACATGGCTGTTTAACTTTACGTAGGTTGATATCGTTTTTTTTATTCCTTAATGTTAACTTAACATATTATAAAACCATAATTCTTAACTTGCAATTATATTATCGTTTATGTTCTTTAAGTTAATTGGTCTCTAATGGAAGGTCTGTAATGCAATAAATAATCATGTTGATAGTATTTAGAATCAGACATAACAATAAATCAAGAAACAATTATAATTATATAACTGTTATTGGAAAGTATGATATACATTATCCGATATTAATCATATTACATATATATTTATAAAGCAGATTATAAAATGTCCTTGACCAAGATATTATAATTATTAATCATACAAATGTTCGTACTAAATCACTTGAACCTTTATTAACATTTGTTTTCAAGCAATATGTTATAATAAAAAAATATCCAAATAATACATTTGTATTGTTTTTAACAAAATAAAAGATAGGTATTATGTGCCCATTGTAACACCAATCCTTTTTAAAATATAATGGGGCTATGTATATGTCGTGTGTGACCATTGTGTCATGTTTTTTATTAGAAAAACATATTGTTTAATGTTTTAATGAGATGAAACGTCGCCATATGACATATACTTACGGTAGTTCGTGCCTGAAATAATTCACGGAAGGCACCCGAGGTGTTCCTGCACCAGTAAAGCTGGAACGTCGCCATATGACCTATACTGTGTCGGTGTGACGTACAACCCAATCAAACAAACAAACAAACAGTCATGTTTTATTATAAGAAAAAATATAGAGTATTTATAATGAGTCCGTATGTTTTCTTAAAAGCGTGTAATCTTAAAAAAGAGCAGCGGAATAGTTTGTTCGGAATCACTTTACTTGTATCTGTTGACAAACATTACTAAAGTTTGTTAGATAACAGAGACATTCTACAAATAAAACTTTAAACCCTTTAATCTGCTAGAATTTAAGTTGGTCCAGAACAAACAAACTAAATAAATAAACATTCTAAATAAAAATTCAAAAAAGTAAACTTTATTTAATAAAAAAATAATACTGTTTAGATTGGGCGTTTGTTTGTGCAGCGATAATTTGAGTACTTATATATTTATCAAAACTTGAAATATCAAAGCTTAGTTTTTCAATATGAACACTCAATATGGCCTTGTTACTTGAAAATAAAACTTTATTTTTGTAAAGTATAGGGTATTCAGTTTTCATTGTTCTGTCAGAAATTGTTAACAAACATTCTTTGTTGTAATTGTTTTTCTTAAATTGTCTGAAAACATTTTTCAGCGCTGGATACGGTACGTCAACAACATCAAAGTAATGTTGTTGTTTTTCTGTACCTGTCTACGCTATCTCCGGACTTTTATAGCTACATATTCTGTCACCTGCATTCATTTTAATGATCTTTTTTTACAAAAAGCTGTATACTTTATGATGTATTGACTTGTAAGTGGCTGTGAAAGATGTTTTGTACATTTTTCAACGGCACACATGTTAAATTAAAGTCCTTAATTCCTCATAATTAAATGCTTTCAAATTAACATATTTTTGTTGTTTATTTCGTATGAGCCTGTACTATCTCCGGATCCGGTAATTATCACGTGAAATACACGGAAAAAACAGTAACTTACCTGGATGATCGTTTACAAAAATAGGTCATTTGATGTACTTTAAAAGAAAAACGTAGAGTGGAAAGTTATATGTAAATGCGGCGGTAAAATGCCGCCACAATGCTACTGAACGACAATAAAACAAAACTATTACAGATGTGATATTTAGTTGGAAAAAAAACTAGTTTACTGCTTTCAGTAAAATATTTGACTATTCATATTTAACGCTATAAGTAAGATAAAATAAAACGAGAACCACATTTAATATAGCGTTAAATACATAACTATAAAACATATTCATTGACAGAAACAAATATATTTTACCAACACATCAATCGGTGGTTTGATTTGCAAACTTGACACATCAAAAAGTATAATAGTTTATGTTTTGTGATGCCAGTTTCATAATGTATTACCAACTGAAATACATAGTATGTTTATTTACCCTATCACAATACTATCACATTATAACTATTGAACTGTTCGACAACAATCCATTTTAATGTTTTAAAATCTGTGTTTTGGGGCAATGACGGTTTAAAGCATTTACCACTGCCGTTCACAGGCTCAAACAAGCACGTCAAATTTGCCGTGCTGTTTAACTTTTCAAGCTTACATTGTGACTATTCTAAACGTATAGACTAAACTAGAAAAAACTACAATGAGAAAACGCAAAACTAAACACCGGGTTAAGTTTGGTTTTGTGAACGTCGGGTTTCAGTCACACGTAGTCTTAATTAGGATAAAACAATTATTATTTTTGCATTGGGACTACATATCTTTTGGTTGTTCGATTTTCATAGCACAAATAACATCTTCTAACCTCTGATCCCCTTTCAAAATTCCATTTTATTTAGTTCCGCCCATTGTTTTCTCGTTTAGGGCACACGCATTTTATTACTTGGGGACCATACGCCGCTTTTCATGGAATGGCACAGAAGTGTCACATTGAAGGTTCCATGATAACCGCCGTATGAACACATCTGCGGATGTTTCTTAATTCAAAATTTTACTATTTCATGTTTAAATGTTGGATTCTGCTTAATGCCGGTGCTAGGGGGCGTGGACGATAACTTGCACTTTCCAGTACCGACCATGAACAGGCTCAATCAAACCGAGCCTGCACCATTTTCAATTTTGCCGTGTTGGGCTTTCTTTAGGGATTCTGTATTTATCTATTTCATTGTAAGCTTAAACGAAGCTTTGGCCTTGTGTACTATGGATAGGAAAAATATATTATGTTGAAAACTTGATTTTGTAATAATCCAAGTTAGAACTGTTAACTTCAGATAACCATTGCTATAAATAATGATAATAAATTATTGAATTAACATTTATTTCAGATATTCTAAAAATTCTTGAATCAACTGAAACAGAATCTGATAAAATAAAGTATCAATGTATCTAAACTTACAGATAAATGCATTTATCAGAATATTTGTAATAATTTCATGTTTTGAATTTTTGTTATCCGGTATTAAAAGGGTTTCAATATATCATAAAAATACTTCCATATCCCGTTTGTGTTCTCTTTAAAATGACTACATAAAATGCTTCGACGTCGCAAAAATTGTGAACGTCAATCTCAAAAAGAAATTAAGATGAAGGATATGAAATGTCACTCACTTTGATACAGTTCATTATGGTAGACTGAACACTTGAATATATATAGCGACCAGGATCCAGCTGAACCTTATCATTAACGATGAAAACATTACTAGTTTTATTGTTAGTTTTTTCTCTTCTGACAACAACACTTTGCACCGGTAAACGTTGTTTTTTGTTTTGTTTTTTTTAACGAAAGTACATTTTCTTTTCAAGAACTAATAGAAATCAGATTTTGTAGTCATTAAATTTAAAAATTAATGTAAGACATTGTAATTGACAAAATTTGCAACGAATTTTCTAATTTTTTTTTATCAAAATAAGTTCATGTTACACGAAAAATGCTACATTGGAATTATATTTTAATTACGAATTTATTCTTATTCAGATGAGGGTGTAAAAGTGTCAGATGTTGCCGGAGAGAGCCGACTGAGGAGAGCATTGAGTCAAAGAGTGTTTTTAAACAAGGAGGCAAAGGTAGGATATATTTTTTAATTTCGTCCTATAGAGCAAAATATATCTAAACAAATTGTAAAACATGTAATCATATTGTTAAGTATCTGAAATTATGAACAACATTAATTGTGTTGTTTCTTTCAAATGATTTATTTGAGAAATTGTACATGTCTATGCAAATATTAAATGAATTTGTTATTGCACTGTTATATATCTATAGAAGTTTCACCATTTCATTATTTTACATAGAACTTGTACCATGTATATTAAAAATAGTTTAATACTAACTAAAACAGAATATAGAATGTATTGAATCGTTTTTAATGAATAACATATAGAGAGTCCATAATTCATTTTGTATCATCGTTTGATAAAATGATTAACAAGATTTAGTCTTGCTCGTTTACTACATAAGTTTTTATAGTAAACCTATTAAAATCAACCAATACATTAGCAAACGCATAATTTGCAGGGTATTTCTTTTTCAAAACATTTATTAGATATTGTTTTCATGAAACATATATCTAGATTGAAATGAATTTTAATAAAGTAATTATATTCTACATACAACTGTTTCTGTGATCAGTTGAATAATAAACTATACGAATACGTCGCTTACCATATTGCATACGTAACAACTGTCTGTAATAAGATACGTCTACGATATAAGTCTCATGAACATTTTCTGATACCAAATTCACGTTGCTGGTGTCCTAAACATTTTCAAAGCTATTTCTGCGTCGGCAGTTTTTTTACCTTTTGAATGTTTTCTAAACGTTTGATTCTAATAAACGAAGTTGCATTACGTATAATTTCAGGGCTTAAAACCTTGATGCAGCGGATGAAAGAAATGAAACTAATTTAAGGTAAGAATTGTCATACTTATGTTAGCACATACCTATATCATCGATTAGAAGAAGAAGTAACATGTTTTGAAATACGTATAGATAAATAATTTATTACTCTCTATACTTAATTTGTATATGTTTATTAATGTTAAAAAATCATACTCTTACGAATTAATTGAAAAGATAAGCCTTTGTTGAATAGTCCAGTATTTTATACGAATAACTATTAACTCAGGATTGTATTATATCATTTATTTCAGACTGCGACAGATATCCAAACAATTGATTCAAGTCGTCAGCAGTCCTAAATTAGTTGCTTTTCTACAAAGTTCATCAACATTGTATTCACCGCCGGGAACAGTGTGACTACTGGATACTAAAAGCTTCAATAGGGCAAGTTCCAGTAAGATGATACCTTTGGTAAAGAATCAATGTACTGTATATATGTGTACATATATTGTTAACTTCAAATTGTATAAACAAAATGTACGGCTCGTCATTGTGTAGTGTCATCTACTTGTATGTACTTTTACGCAGGACTAATGTTATTTAACTAATGCATTTTATACCAATTACTGCTACATGTTAAAAGAAATTATATCAAATAATTCTGTTTCTCAATAAAAACGCACAATAAAATATATACACACCTAATATCCTTATATGCTTTAGATTAAATGGTATTATATTGCTTATCATTCTGCTTTTGTATACTTATTTGTACACAAAATTTAATAAACTCTAATGTTATTCTGGTTTTGTAGTTCTTTTTGTACAACATGAATATCAAGACGTACTTCCGCTAAGAGATTTTTTGGAGGGGAGGGGGACGATGGTGTATTCTCCATTCTTTTAAAATATATAAATCATATCTAATTGAAAACTTCTATCATAGAATACTGTATATACTGATTAAATTTTAAGAGAAAATCCAAATGTTATCTATAAAACTATATGCATAGTCTTTTGTAATAAGTGCAAATAATTTGAAAACCAGACAACCGAACAAAATTTGTCCCTTTTAAGCAGTTTTTAATTTTAAAAGTATCATCAGCAATCATAGTTTATCAGATTTAGGGAATTATGATGACAGATGAAAGGAGTTTTAGTTCAACATGTTACAGACATCACGTGATTCAGTGTTGCCTTTTTTGTCGAGGCTGTATAAAATTGGTTTAATCAATGGAAATGAAATGTAAGCAACAAAACCTTAAGCTGAGGGATGTAAATGTAAGCTACAAAACCTTAAGCTGAGGGATGGAAATGTAAGCTACAAACCTTAAGCTGAGGGATGGAAATGTAAGCTACAAACACTTACGCTGAGTGATGGAAATGTAAGCAACAAAACCTTAAGCTGAGGGATGTAAATGTAAGCTACAAAACCTTACGCTGAGGGATGGAAATGTAAGCTACAAAACCTTAAGCTAAGGGATGAAAATGTAAGCTGCAAAACCTTACGCTGAGGGATGGAAATGTAAGCAACAAAACCTTAAGCTGAGTGATGTAAATGTAAGCTACAAAACCTTACGCTGAGGGATGGAAATGTAAGCTACAAAACCTTAAGCTGAGTGATGGAATGTAAGCTACAAAACCTTAAGCTGAGTGATGGAAATGTAAGCTACAAAACCTTAAGCTGAGTGATGGAAATGTAAGCTACAAAACCTTAAGCTGAGTTAGGATGATAACCATTGATTTTAGGAAATTAACTTTAATGAAAGGAAAAGCTATGTAATTTTAGTCCAAACGTCTCTAAGAATTAATTTGTCATCAAAATATGTACACAACTTTTAATTATGAATCAAAACACGACGGACAGATATACGATTTGTTATTAAATGTGTTGCTATATAAACATTTAATATGTACTGAAAAAAAGCCGATTATCCCCTTAAAAGATATGTCTATTTTGATGCTTTGGCCAACATGCTAGGGATAACCTTCCACAGATCAGATTTTTTTAAAATGTTGTCCTTGCTGAAAAAAAAGCTGACAAGACTGGGCATTTCTTGAACACCTTAGAGATCGTCTATAGAAAAACTCTTTGGAAGACATATGACCCAAGATGAGACATGGAATAACCTTGGCCCTGATCAGAAACGTAGTAAACTTCCTCCATGTATATTGCAGCATAACATGCAATCACTTTGAAGTTCATATTTAAACGAATTCGTAAATGAGTACAACTCCATGTTGAATTCCTAGCCGGGTTAAGAATTATCTAAAAGTCCAATATTAATATATTCAAGGAAACACACGTCAGTTAGATATAATTGCTGAATTTTGTAAAAAAAAAATTCTATATTTCAAAAGCAACATTATCCCTGCTCAACATAAAAAGGTTAAAGAATGTTGAAATGACTTATGCAAGCCATAACGACTTAACGCTTACAAAATTGTTCTTTGACAGAGAAAAAATAAGGATATACCGCGTCAAGGTAATGATGTGGTAAAATATTAGACAACCAGTCACAGATTTTGTTTTTCTTGTCTCTATAACGAAAACAATTTATAATAACTTATATTTCGTGACACTGTACTTTTCAAAAAAATGAAGTTGAGATAATAAAAATGTTGCCAACGTGTCATGTAAAATGTATTTCTTATGAACAATAAATAAAAATGTTTATGCCAACTCTTCAGTAAAACACACTTAGCTTGGTATCATGCTGTTATCATATATATACAAGTGGGGTTATTCTAAGTATGGCACCATAAGTGCATACATTTTAAGTATACTATAATTCTGACATAATGTGTGGTGAGAAAAATAATGGGGTGAAGGTTAACTGTAAAAATATACTTAATTTTATGACACACGTGAATAATGACAATAATAGTGTTAAAGCGAAAATTGCAAAACAAAATATTTTTCTTCTTTCTTTCTTTTTTATATATATTATTGCGAAAAATGACAGCAAGAGACATAAGCAACAATAGTACGTTTCAATTTTTTTCGGCAATGATTTGCTTTTGTGAACCCTTAGTTTCCAGATATAAAGACTTTCTTTACAATACCATATTTGTAGAATACTAACAGTTACAAAATAAAAATCAGCATTTCTTTATAAGATATGATTATCAAGGTCAACAAGGAAAGGCGGCAATCAATGAAAGGTTTATCGCAATAAATTTCATGCAAATTTCAAACAATAAAGATGTAAAAATTTCTACTTTAAGTGCTGATAATTAAAACGTCCCATAACTCTCTTTCTCAATGCACATATAAACATTTTTGTACCAGTTTGTTGGTACATTTTCCAATTTACATTGACGGCATACGAACTAAATCTGAATTGCAATTATATTCTAATTAAAGGATTTAATAATTACTCCATTCCATGACATTAAACATTCAAGGTAAAAAGCTGTATAACATGACACAGCGTTTCTTTTCTTGTTCTTTTTTTTTTTAGAAAAGATTCGTGCAATAGCGAGAATCTAACTTGTGAACATTGGATTTAATGTAAAAAAATCTGTACTTTGCCAATGCCCCACTCTCTAAGCCTTTCATTATTGATATATCGTCATATTGTTTATGCTCAACTGTGCTATTCATCTATACGATTGCAGTAATAAAGGTTTCACGGCTACAGCATTTGTGAAGTATAAGATTACAGCAATGCACTTTTCACGATGATAAAAAAATCAAAGGTGTCAGTTAAGATATGACCCCCTAACGCATTACATAAGCTTTGGAGACTATTCAAACAGGCTAGATTTAGTGTCAAAGACATTGAAACTGAGAGGCGTGGGTTCAAATATCTGGAGAAAAAAGATCCCTCGGAAAAATTAAAATGAGCAAAATAACATAAAAATTGCAGACTGTATGATGGAGTCTGTACATGAGGGGTAATGAAAAAGTGCAACATTCCCCCAAAACCGACTTAAGGGGTTATCAATTTATAACTGCAAATCGGCTCTTACTCGACAGTAATTAGTGAAGCCACTTTTTCATGAAGAGTCCAGTGCTGATAGTGATAATTGTGATTTGCATATTTTAATAAGCCAGGTCAGGTGTTTCTGAAAAGGCTGATAACACTGATGCAATTTGAGTATATATAAAATTTATTACACAGATAATACACGTGTTTCTTTTCTTGTTCTTTTTTTCATTTTTAGAAAAGATTCGTGCAATAGCGAGAATCTAACTTGTGAACATTGGATTTAATGTAAAAATATGTACTTTTGCCAATGGCCACTTCTCTAAGCTTTCATATATGATATAATATCGTCATTGGTTTATGCTCAAGCTGTGCTCATTCATCTATTACGCGATTGCAGTAATAAAAGGTTTCACGACTACAGCATTTGTGAAGTATATAGATTGCAAGCAATGCACTTTTCACGATGATAAAAAAATCAAAGGTGTCAGTTAAGATATGACCCCCTAATGCATTACATAAGCTTTGGAGACTATTCAAAACAGGCTAGATTTTAGTTGTCAAAGACATTGAAACTGAGAGGCGTGGGTTCAAATATCTGCGAGAAAAAAGACTCCCTCGGAAAAAAACTAAAATGAGCAAAATTACATAAAAATTGCAGACTGTGTGATGGAGTCTGTACATGAGGGGGTAATGAAAAAGTGCAACATTCCCCCAAACCGACTTAAGGGGTTATCAATCTTTAAGCACTTAATGTGCTGAAATCAATGATCCCGAATGAAATTTAAGCTGAATTTACAACAGCCATTATTCGTGTTTATCACAACATGTAGTTCCATACAGTAAATCTTTATTGTTTTCTGGTATTTTAGAAATGATGGATCATTGTTAAGTATTGATTAAATAAGACTTGAACCGATGTTGAAATGGCATAAAAGACTATAATTATAATGTTAATATTAGTACCTATGCTGAACAAACTCAAGCGACTATGTTGTTTTTGTTTTCAATTATTTGATGGAGTTTTGATATAGTACTAGGTTATTGAGAATACGTAATAACGTGTTTTCACCACTTGCCAAAATACAGTTTACAAAAATGATTTGTGTCTAACAGAATTTTAAAAACATTACACAAAAGCATATGACAGTTTGTTCCATAAGATGTAACTTGCCTATGTTTGACAGAGACATCAGTCTGATGAAAAATGTTGTTTTTGTTTAAGTTTGTGCAAGCCCCAAAACGTACTTTAAGTGACATTTTTTTAATTTAACTGCGTCTTCATTCTCTGTCAAGTATCAGTTTTACCACAATTAATAGGATAATTCATTTAATATTTTTTCATAGAAAAAAAGTTATTTACGTACTTTTAACAAGAAATGTTGACAGAATATTAAGAATGGTTGAATCTAATTTGTGAATTTTTATTTACTTAATATTTTGCGTATTGCAATTGTGTTTTCTTGCATTATTTCATGCTTTTTATTAATGTAGCATTTAGAACAACTGTTGTTAAAATGTAAACAATATTGATGCATGTTTTTATTACCTTGTACTTTCATGACAAGTCATCACTGTTTAACAACTCTATATTTTTTGTTCTGCTTCACGTAAACAAGAAACCTGATGACAATGGCCTTGTTTTATAAAAATGAATGTAGTTAATGATTTTTATGTAATTTCTTGCACCGTCAATTTCTGGCAAAGAAACATTTTGCTTGAATGTGGTTTTGGCAAAAAAATTAACGAGTCAGTTTATGAACCAGTATATGGCAATGGCATAACAAAGGATTTAACGACATAAATGAGAAAGTTTTACCATAACATTTGAAGCATCACCATCCATCCGTTAAAAGCCCCCTTTACACCGTTTGCTTGTTGTGTCACTTTGAAAAAAATCTAGCTGTATACATCACGTTATTTTTATACTATAATTATATTTTAAACTCGAAGTAAAATACCATTTGCTCCTGTGACGGGTTTGATATAGAAATAATGGCTAAACGGTTAAAGTCTGAGTAACCGAGTACTCGATCGGAAGAATGACCGAGCACTCGAGCACAGTAGTCATCCTTATCTAAAACCATTAATGATTGGAGTTTAAAAATTTTGTGATGTATATCAAGATATTAGACACTTGTTATTTAATTACAACATGTATATTCTTATACTTACCTCAGCAGGTGTCAAGTATCGTTTTACAGCTGTAAAAAGTTTTTTCCCGATCTTCATTTCAGTGTTGGCATATTTTCTTATTTTTGTGGGGATCAAAGAATCCGAAAACTTATTGTGTTGAAGATCTAATACTGCTTAAGTCGGTGCTAAGGGGGTGAGATATTTTATTTCTTCAATTATCTCTCATGTCTCAATGAAATTGTGTTTCTGCAATTTTCACCTTTTTGTCTTCACTGCTCTCGTGGAAGCTATCCTTTTTCAGATTTTTATTTAGTAATAATATCTTTTCAATTGGCTTCGTTCTCTAGTACAATAAATGCTTATTTGTTTTGCTTTATTTATAATAAATAAAAAATGTTGGAAACAAACAAAATTATGAAATACTAATTTATCTGAACACTACACAAAATCATATAAGACTAATTATCTTCTATTTTATTAAAGATTTATTATACCTAGATTCTTTAAGAAACCTGACGAAAAAGTTGTTCTTCTTATTGTGCCAGTTCTGTGCTAGTATATTCTTAAAAAATCCGGTAAATAACATATTAAAATGTTTTCATTGTGCGTCAAAGATAAAATGGCAAAATTCATGTTTAAGGAAGTTTTGACAAAAAAAATATTAACGTGCATTTTTAAGTTGACAAAATTATATAAAAGCTAACCTTGCATTTATATTCACTAAACGATTGCAAACACGCATTTATTTAGTGATGGAAAATTTATTTTTACCTGTGGTTGAAACTAATATATGCAGTTTTTATCATAAGTAATGTGTTTGTACATATAACTATTTCATTTTTCTGTGGAGTGACAGACTTCAGAAATATAATATATGACAACTCTATCACTCTCCGTCAAGTAAGCAAGCTTTTAGAATTCTATTTCAGGTAAACAACAAGTCTATATTGTAACAGGATGAGTGTAACTTCAAGGGTGATTTATTTACCCATATAACACGACTTGAGTTGAGGGAGTTATTGCATTGTAGTCATTGTTATAGAAGAATATCTTTCTTTCAGAATGTACATCTAATCATCTTTAGCTACATAATTTTAACGTTTTTAAGTACTTAGGTTGTATTAAAATTATTTTGTCGAAATAAGTGTGCATAAACACTTTTGCCAAGAATAAGAAAGTAACTGAGAACATTACAAATCCCAATAATTGAGTGATAGTAACTCGCACATAGCTCTTTTTTGTCAATTATTAAGTACATGTAATATACTTTTAGGAGGTCATAAAAATGAATTCATCTGATGGGTTGCTCTTTTAAATGCATATGTTTTCTGTTTGAAATGCAAGACTTTGTTTGAAGACATGTTAAGACGCACTAGCTATACAATCCGATGTGACACCACTTTAAACATGCCTTTCTATAACAATAACCTAGACATTTCAAGAACAAAAGTACTATCGAAATCTGACTTTTAGAGAGACTGTTTGAAAAAAAAAGTAAAAAAAAACAACAAAAAACCACAAAAAACAAACACATGTCTGTTGTAAATAGCATGTTCAGTAAGTGGTAATAGAAAAAGCAGATCTCTTCGTCAACACACTGACTGTTAATATAGTTCTCTACACAAATCTTTTTGACAGTTTATATAACGCCTTATGAACGCTTGTAAGCCAGCCAAAGTTTACACATGGTCATATAACAGTAAAATATATTTATCATGAATTTATGTCAGACCAAAACTCTTTTACTTGGGGAAAACTGAAAATCACTTAATTATTATATCTTTACAGTAGACTTGCATCATAAAAGTTATGATTATGCAGAGAAAATCAACGTTATCAGCATGCAATAAGAAATAGTGTCCAGTTTCAATAGCCAGTTTATGTGAAGATGATTAATTTTGATTAAGCATTTCGAAACTTGAATGCCAATTAATCTAAATATGGTTGTTTTTATAACATTTGCAAAACTTCAGATGGATCAGTTCAATTTCTTTTGACTTACTGAATCCCCAAAGTTCGCAGCCATAATTAATAGTAGCTGTTACAAAAGCATAAAAAGTTGGCATTACGATGAACTATGTTTAAATGTTGTGGAATATTATACCATGATAATATTCCATGTTGTTTATCAAATATTTTACTACTACATGTAGTTAATCCTAAACACTTGCAAAACACATCATAAACTTGCTTAATTTGCATACACATAATAGTTAAATGGGTATTACGCAATATGGACGTAAACATGTTGACTTAATGCTTGGGACATTTATACAATTTCATGCGACTATAAAAAGGCCATTTAAGCCTGTAGTTGGTATAAGTGAATTATTCGCTCACAGAACATGAGGGTCGCACTTCTACTGATTGTACTTGTAGCTCTAAGCCTCGCAACAGGTAAACTATTTCTCTTTAGCTGTTATATACTTTATTAATGATTTGATTAAAAACAATTTAATTTAATATCAGGCTATTTTTTTAAACTATAAACTTTGATTATTTAATTTAAAACATTTTAAGTTTATATCAAATGTTATAAATTTGAGTTTGTTTTAATTCTTACAATCTTTGTAGATGTACTTCAATGTAACTATGTTATTTTCACTGATCCATAGCATAAAATAGTTTATTGTGATATAATTAAAATAGTGAATTTATTTCAATTATTGAAATAAAAGTTAGGTAAGAATGCTTGATGCCGTGATAGAATCTGTCATACTATACATGAAGGATGCTCATACAAATAACAAAATATCCAACCATCTGAATATTTCTATTGAAAATTTCTATTGAATATTTTATTCACATAATAACACAAAACCTAACATAGTTTAGTTAAAACATATTTTATTTCTCTGAATATATATACATATATACACAAAGCATTTCAGATATTCTTACAAAATAGGATTAGAATGGAAGACAAAGTGTCTGAAGAAATTGTTTTCTTTAGTAACACTTAACAGTATCACTTAATTTTGTAGGTTATAGTGTCATCGCTACTTCTTCACATAAATTATTTTGTGTCTTTATTAAATCAATGGACAAATTGATCAGTGCAATAATTCAAATGCAATGGTGCAATGAAAAGAAATGGTAACTAATAAAGTTCTAAATATTTTAAGAAAACAGAACACATGATTTCAGTTTTGACACACATTTATATTGATTTTTTTATGTTTAAGAAAAAGTTAAAACTTGATTTGTTTTCTTTTAAATAACCAATTATTTTGAAATTAGACGACAGGGATTATAATGTCCATACATTTATTTTAAAGGCGAGATGCAAAACCAAGGAAAATATGTTGAAAGCCGGTTAAGGAGGGCTATTATTGGTGCAGTGTCCAGTGTGGAGGTAAAATAAGTGTTTAGTTCTCTTTATAATTTATGTTCAGAAGTATGTAATGAATGTATCTATGTTTAATTGATTCAACAAAAGAAAAGTTTAACTTCATTTTTACAACATGACTTTACTTAATTTTCATATAATTTAAACATCACTTTTATTTTAATCATAGAGGATATTGAATGTATGTAGATTCAATACTGAATTTATTGAACTAGTCAAAATAAACCATACTATGCGATCCTCCGCGGGCCCCGTGTTCACAAAGAAAAGATCAGTATCAGGATCAGGTGATCCTGATTTTATTTTCATTGTTTCTTTTAACTAAAATTGATTGTAACATGCTAGAATTAAATGGTACATATTCGAATTGTAAATAATTGCTCATTTGCAAAGAAACCAACCTTATTTTGGGATAAAATAAACTAATAACAAAACAAATACAAAAATAATTGGATCAAAATGAGGATCAATTTTAGGACCAAGATCAAAAATTGAATCAACTGTAAAATACCCATTTCTTGTAAAAATAACAATAAATTTATTCTAAAGTTTCATAAACATGCTATTTTAAGTCCAGTTTTATCAATTTAATATTGAATATTTAATCTATGAGGATAAATAATGGAAACTATTTGAGTTTTTAAATTTGATCCTGATCCTGATCTTGATCCTGATCCTTAAATCTTTGTGATCATATTATTGTTCCACGAGTTCAATAAGTGTGTTATTTTATCTACACGAATATAATATTCTACTTATCACATACCTAAAATTAATTGTTAACAGTAGTACTGTTTACAGTGAAAAATAATCATTTTTGTCATTGACGCGTCTATAGTGTGACGCTAACGTTATACAAGTGACGTCACTTCAGTATATACGAGCATGCTTTACCATATTTTACGGAGTAGTAGACGCTGCACGATTGTAATGAAATATTTTAATGTAATATTCCATTTGAAGCGCTTAAGAAAATATTATAAAGCTTCGCCAGTGACTGTCATAATAAAAGGTTTGTGTGATCCATCCTATTTTTATAATAGATCTTTTCACTCAAAGAAAATAGATCTATTTTGAATCGCCATTTTCGATAATAAACAAATCGCAATTTTAATGAATAATTTGAAATCACTTCGTGCACATACTTCATAGATTTTTTTCATATTTTCACACACTTCTGACCTTTATAATGTTTGTTTTGAAGATAAAGCCAAAAGAAGATAACCGTCCTTGACCCTCCAGCGGCTGACATAAGTAAACACGTTGCGTCGCCTAGCTACGGGGATGACAGCGTGTTTGTAAGTTTGCTTACAATATTTCTTACTATTTTTAAACATAACTTACATTTTCATATAGTGAAATTGCAGAAGTTACATATTATTCCAGTTAATCACGCAGTACTTTTACTTACAGTTTACTACCACTATTGATAACGCTACTACATGTTTCATGATTGTTTAAACTGTCGATTAACATGATGTAAATGAAAAAGAAAACATACAAATAAATACAAATTGATTTCATTGTTATTAACAATAATATAGGACAATACTAGGACTAAAAAATGTTCTCTAAAGTGAGAATAAATTTGTCATTTTGTATCAGAACCTGAGCTCGCATATTGTCAAGCTATGTTTTAATGTCTTCGATTTTAACCAGGGAGGTCTACCTATCTTATGACGCTGTGTGCCAATCCAAGAATATTGATTAAATTTCTTTGAATTTGGAATTATTTCATTACATTTATTGCAAATATTTAGGTTATATATTATTACAACTGTTGTCTATATCGGTTAAATTTAGAAAAATATATATTCAATTGAAACAGACAAAATAATTCCAATATTAATGTCATAATATGCATGTCTTGAGCAAGATTTGTACAATCTTTAAATTGCAAGTATAATAATGAAATAGAATGTTTCTTATTAATCGGATAAAATGTTATATGTTTTTTCGGTAATAAAGTGTTTACGTTAGGCAGAAGTAATTTTATGGGAATTATCTTAATCAAGATTGTTTGAATTTTCAGATTTCGGACAAATCCATAAATTCAGTTGATGAATGAATATTTTGAAATTCCGGATGACAGCATAGATGGACTCATGAGGCCGAATTTATCTGCAAAACAGCTGCAACAAATTTAAGGACAAAATTTCATTAATTGTATAGTAGTGACGATTTTCAGGAACTTAAACCTGTTAAAATGCAGACATTGAAGCTACCCAATGAAACACAATTTATTAAATTTTATCATTTTATAACTTTGTACGGAATATTATTCATTTGCTAAAGTTATGTTTTTGTCGCCTTTGAAATAAAGATGTTCGGCGAGTAATGACTGCCGAAAACAGAAAGTCTTAGCAGACATGTTCCGGTGGGATGTATCGTCGATATTATCTTTATTTTTGTAAAATATTGTTTTCGAAAATTGCTTATATTTATACAATGTATATGCTAAATATATATATTCTGAAAATCATATTTAGTCATTTTATTATATTTGAAATTTGAACAAGAGCATGGTATACCCCCGAATACTTTTTTTTAGTAAACGAATATAGACAAAAAAATTATTCTAGAAACTTAGCTTTACATTTTTATTTCCCCAATATATACATATAAAATATACATTTATAATACAAATTAAACCTTTTTAATTCAAGAAAAAGATTAGAACGGATGATTAAGTCTTGTCTGTTGTTATCTTTTTCTGGTTCTTCGGTATCATTGATTACAGCACTTTTAGTGTTAAAATAGAGTATCGCCTCTTATTTCTTTTTAGCTCACCTGAACTTGTTCAGGGTGAGCTTTTGTGATCGTTGAATGTCCGTCGTGTGTCGTCCGTCGCCCGTCAACATTTGTTTGTTAACACTCTAGCGGTTTCATTTTTTTCCTCAATCATCATCACACTTTGTCAGGATGCTTGTCTAGGTAATTGCTCAAATGAGTTCGAACATGGGTCATCTCGGATGAAAAACTAAGTAAAAGGAGCTTAAAATAGAAAAATCTTGTTAACACTCTAGTGGCTACTGTTTTGATCCAAATATCCTTGAGATTGGTCTGGAAGTTTGTTTTGATGATTTCTAGGTCAAGTTTGAATATGGGTCACCTGGGATTAATACTCTAGTGGACACATTTTTGTCTCAATTGTCATCAAACTTGGTCAGGGTGCTTGTATAGGTAATTGCTCGAATAAGTTCGAACATGGGTCATCTCGGATGAAACACTATGTCACAGGAGCTAAATATAAGAAAATCTTGTAAACACTCTAGTGGCTACTATTTTGATTCTAAGATCCTGGATTTGTCTGAAAGTTTGTTTTGATGATTTCTACATGTAGGTCAAGTTCGAATATTGGTCACCTTGGGTCAAAAACTAGGTCACATCGCCCAAATATGGAAAAACCTTGTTAACACTCCAGTAGTCACATGTTTTACTCAATCATTATCAAATTTTGTCAAGATGCTTGTCCAAATAATTGCTCGGATGAGATTGAACATGGTTCATCTCGGATAAAAACTAGGTGACGGGAGCTTAAAATAGAAAAATCTTGTTATTACTCTGTTATGATCCAAATATCCTGGAAATTGGTCTGAAATTTTGTTTTGATGATTTCTAGGTCAAGTTCGAATATGGGTCACCTGGGTTCAAAAACTAGGTCACGCTTCTCAAATATGAGAAAACCTTGTTAACACTCTAGTGGTCACATTTTTGACACAATTGTCGAATGCTTGTCTAGGTAATTGCTTGTATGAGTTCGAACATGGGTTATTTCAAATGAAAAACTATGTCACAGGAGCTAAAAATAGAAAAATCTTGTTAACACCCTTGTGGCTACTGTTTTGATCCAAATATCCTGGAAATTGGTCTGAAAGTTTGTTTGATGATTTCTAGGTCAAGTTCGAATATTGGTCACCTGGGATCAAAAACTAGGTCACATTGCTCAAATATGGAAAACACCTTGTTAACACTCTAGGGGTCAAATTTTTGACTGTCATGAAACGTGTCTAAATAATTGATCGAATGAGTTCGATGGGTCAGGTGAGCGATCTAGGGCCATCTTGGCCCTCTTGTTTAAACTTGTCTGAAACATAATTTATATTCATTATCCTCATGATACTATATGACCACCAGAGGTTTTTCATATAACTTTAGTAGACCAAAAGGTGATGATACAAGCAAACTATCATTTTGCTATTGGAATTTTAGCTCAGGAACATGTTTCTTATGTATATCAAAAATTAGCTTTCGTAATCGAGTATAGACCATGGCATGTTACCAGTCATGCCCTTAAAGGGTAAATTTTAATCACAAAATGATGCTCCTCCGTGCAATTTCCAGAGTATTAGGTGTGCAGCAGTCAGTAAGCACCTGAATGTAAAGAAACCTGTAACAATAATGAAGGAGATAACCCTGGTAAGGTCTATTGGTTCCAAGCGTTCACTGTGTAACAGGGGCTAATGAGACCCAGTACATTTCATCGTCGCCCCTGCCTACTGTGTACGCCGAATCACCTTGACTTAAATAGGTGATTGGCCGAATACAAGCCAGACTTAGCTCAGCCTCGCTGCGGAATCGATTACTTGACCTCAAGAATCTACATTCAATTTTACTCAAACACCGAGCTCTTAAACTTTTTTGCAAATGTCACGATCATGGTGAGAAGTTTCATGATTTACCTTTATAATTTTGTATATTATACACATTTTAATTTAGTGAGTTTAATTGCAGCTATATGAAGTCACTATTTTGCCACTTATAATGTCCAGTTATTACGTCTCCTCAATTTTCCCAGAAATGTTTTACACTGGCATTTTATGAAACTTTGTTGTTTGTTTTTTCACTACAAGATGTGGCTTTGTATGTTTGTTATATGGTGAGAATTATTCATAGTCATTTTAGTAGTACCCATGTTTCCAACGCGTATGAGATATATTGCTCAAATAAAATATTTTTCACTTAAATGTTGGGGAAATAATAAATTGAGGCACAAATATTGTTATATTCGAATTAAAACCCTTAAAACTGCTGGTATATCATCCCTCAAGAAAAAAGAAACGAAGTTTTGTTAATATCATCACTTAAAATAATATATCAAGACATTTATCTTTTAAAGTGAAACTGTTAAATTTCAATTTTTTATGGGAACATCTTTTAGCTCAACTCTTTTAAGAAAATCTTGGTATCATCCAGGCTTCAGCGTACTACATTTGTTAAAGTTAGACCTGCTACTTTTTGGGCAACATAATATTTAAGCAACCCCAGTACAGTGTATGTAATACCACAATACGGAATCTATAGTGAACGTTATTTACTGTAATGTGGAATATCAGTAAAGAAAACTCTTCTAGCAGTATCAGCTTTTATCTAATACAATTTACCTCCCTTCAATTCTAAAGTGAGGATAATGTCAGTTTATCAATCTTATCGTTTACAAAGACGCTGGAAATGATTGCTTCACTCAAGATACGTTCTGCATTAAAAAATGTTTTACAATGTTTCAAATGATTTTAAAAAAGTTAACATTTATTATACTAAAACCATATTTGTTTCAGTCACAAGAAAAGCTTCATAATTATATAGTAGAAATATTTACATTTAGATATGTATGATTTTAAAAGTCCCGTGGTAAGATGCCAAAGATAAAACCAATAACAACAAAATCACAACGCAGAAAATGTTTTTGTACAGGGTATATTAATTATCATTTGTTCGGTATTGGTATAATGTGGAAAATGAAGTTTCGTCCAAACCAGTCGAATAGACAAACTCCGGGAAATACTAGTTATTCCAGCTTGGTGTATTTTTGAACAATGGCTGGCCTATTTTTTTGTATCTTGTTCTTGTTCTAAGGGTATATTTCTTATATATCTGCATAAATATACACGATATGCCAGGTGTGCAACTCAAATCCAAGGTCAATGTTTGATATTCAAACATTTCAGATATAGCAGTGTTTGCTGGGTGCCTTACCGATTGTCCTATGTGGCTTGGTGTCGTTGGAACTGTGTTTAGTGATTGTCGCCCTCCCTTTTTTATATTTATTTTCTTTTTTCTTTTTTCTCATTTTCTTTTCATTAAAAATTTATTTGCTATTTTCATTATAATGAGGAACTGTCATATAAGAATATGACAGTTCCTCATTATAAAGAAAATAGCAAACGTACATAAACTGGTACAAAGTACTGTACCTAATGATTTAAAGCCAGCAAATGTTGTCAACGAATTATTAAACAGACATTGGAAATTATAGGCCTGTATCTATATCAAGTACATATTATTTTTTAATGATTTGAAAAGGTCGTTTATGACCAATTTTGTTCATATTTCAAGGAAAAGGTTTCAATCTAGGTTGGCATGCGTTTTTTTTTTTCACAGATACTTGTTTCACACAATCTATAAGAGAACATCTGGATAAAAGTTATCTTGTCGGCATGATTATAATACAAATTCAAAAAGCATTTGATAAGTGGATTATTTATTTCTTTCAATCTATTGCTCTCAGATTTTATATTTTACAATGGTCAAAATTTCACCATTTTTCATGTTTAAATATTGAATTGAACAAACTTGTATCTTCTATTACGTACGAGACTTACTTATATAAAAGTCATTTTTTAATATGTATTGATTTTGATGAGTATCCTTTGATATTTAATTGTTAAAGTATTTTATAAAGACCTATGTACACTATTGTCTTTTTAATAGTGAACTGAGATATTTTATTTCATACATCTTTGGCAATATCATTTGTTCTTAAGGACCACAATGGAAATAATAGATGTAATTCTCTTTTTTGTGTTATCCTTAGTATGATGTAATTGATGTGGTTTCATTTCTCATACATGCTTTGATTGTTTAATCATGTACACCATGCTATCTCATAATACTGAAATAAATATATATATGTTGTAAATATCATATATAACGATGTTAAATCAAGTGATCACGTGCGCCGAAGTTTCTCTTTGCAAAATAAATATACTCAAAGCATTCAATTTTAACTAAGGGTACATGGCAATTTGAGAAGTGTTGTGGGACATTTTCTCTGAGGCTTTTATATATAATTTAAAGAATCTCAGAGGATAAGTCTGGTCAAAACGTAAATACTTAATTGTTACACAATAGGTAACGGAAACTACAGGAATAATTAATTTGTTTTAATTTTCTTTCAATTTTTATTCTTTTTTCCAATTGAATCCGAATAATTATAAAGGAATCTCTTCCAATTAACATCCAAATGTATGTCTTTATTCTGATTAACGAAACAGATAAACAGCCTCAAACCTAGCTATAATGGTTAAGTTTTGTCGTTTGAAAAATAAACAATAGTGATTGTTTTGGGCGTTCTTTAGGGATTTTGTTTCTGTTAATTTTGTTACTTTTATTGCTTCTTTCCATTTTTTTAACTTACGACAACGGATTTCAAATATTGTTTGGCAGCTAAATCTCCGTATTACTTGTTGGTGTAATTGTCAT